ACATTCCCAGAAATTTGAACGATTCAAATATGGCAAGTAATTAAAATACATTGTTTAAAGTACTTTTCTTTGTTTCAAACGTGAGCAGTTATTTTGAGATTTACTGCTTTATGGTTTTTGGCATTACGAATAAAATATGCCATCACATAAATTTTTCTTTTTGTAAATTATGTCATACTTACTTGGATTTTAATTCGATATTGAAGAAGTTTGATATAGAATAAACAGCTCTAATGTTGGCATATGGGTCAACAAATTAGATTAGAAAGCCCATCGATAAAAAAAACTCATATTTTAAATTTTGATTAGAAAAAGTATAAGGGACAGCCCTATGGGGTTGTACGCAATGGTGACGTAGGACTACGTAGTTTTATGTAATAAATCTTATATGTTAACTGCAGCAGGAGCTTGTGTTTTATGTAGTAATAGGAATTTGAGCGGAGTTCTCTCTGTTTATACTCTTTTGTATGACGCGCTTGACATACATGACACGCAGCGACTCACGAAGAGCTACTGATTCCGATCAATAGCGGTGCGGCTGCTTCCTCTTTCTATGGATGCTCATGTGGGATGCAGCTCACTGCTTGCAGGCAGCCTTTCGTTGTGTACTGGAGAACAATGTTCAACGCCACACGCCGAAAGCACTGCTGCTGCTGTTGATGATGATGCCGACGACCGGACACCACCACACACGGTGATTGGTACTGAATCCGATCAGCTGTTGAGACCAGTCTTGATAGCTAGCTGCTTGCGGGGAGTCTTTCGTTGTGTACTGGAGAACACCACCACTCACCACGCGGTGATTGAATAAACACCGTTTGATTAGACCGAATGGAATTCAACTTTGAAATCTGTGTTAGGGAAATCGGTTATCATTTTAGCAGGCAATCGGTGATCATTTTAAGTATCGTAGAAACAGTGCAATTTTCAATAGTGCCGTTTTGAAAAATTAAAAAGTCTAAAAGTTAACAGATGCGTAGATTTCTGCTCGATAGGTGAAAAAAATTATTGAAATTGGTCCAGGGATAGCGGAGTTATTAACGTTCAAAATCTTTCATAATTTTGTTGCATGTTCCATTTTCGGTTTTCGTAAAGTTAACCCCCATATAGAAATTATAGACGTAGTCCTACGTCAAAATGGGTCATCTGAACAAGACAAACGGATATTTTGGGATGCTAGAAAAAATGCCGTTATTCCATATTTATGTATGGACCCAATATTAGGGACACTTAGGTCGGCGGTAAGGACATTAACCCTATTAACTGAATTTTCGAAGATAAGGGTTTATTATTTAGCAGTTATTTACAGTTCTGTGAGAGTTGTGATATTTGACACTATTAATAAAATATGCCATCATGTACTTTTTCATCTTTCAAAAGCTGATCGTTATTTTCACACGCCAATTTATTTAACTGACTGATAGGTTTTTTTTTTAGTAACAATTTCTATTGTAGTTTTATCTGTTTGTTCTTTTTAGGTGGGCTTCGTTATCGTGCATATTGTGAGAACCACAAAGTGAGGGTTCGACTACCGCTCCAGCCGGTGGAACTTTTCGCAACCCGAAAATTTACCTACTGGTCTACTGGGTATTGTGATTTGTCTGTTGTCTAGTGTTAAGATGTTCTGTCTGTGCAACCTATGGTTGAAGATGGTGTCAATTGTCTTCCTGACATGATACGGAATAATTATTGGCGCTTTGAATCCAAAATGGAATTGTCTTATTTATCTTCCTATTATTTGCTGGTTATTCACTTTTTCATACCAGCAAATGTTCTTGGCAAGTTTTAAGAATTAATTATGCGAATGACCCAGCATCCAAATACATAGTATCGATCGAGAAATATTGCCTCCCCGGATGTGTCATAATTTACAATTCAAACCTCTGATATTCGAAAGTGACTTGATTCATATTTCTTAAAAATAATTCATAAAGAATCGATTGATAGCAGCTACTTCGCAGTCTTTCCACGCAATACACATTTAAATCTTTGCATGAGCTCTGTAAACTGTACATAGGCAAAACATACACACGCACAACTCCTTTCACCTACGTTCGTATCAAAATGGACCTATTTCTCCCTAGCACGTAGCTCCTATTTCATATCACCATCGTTTGCGTGCAAACCATTGAAAACGGCCCAAATATGGCGCTAAAATGTCACATATTTTATTCTTTTTAATAGATCCACCGTCCGTGGAGGCCTTCGACGGCAGCGGTGGCAGCGTAGGTCGTCACTATTGATGGCATCAAATTTCCATCTACGAGGGCATCACGTGTTCCAAATTTCTGATTCTGATTCGCTTTTTCAGGAGCTGTCGATATTGGAGTCGCGCGCTGATGCGAAGAAAATGGAAATGAACACGTGCTCTGCATTGGAGCGATTTCCCTCCCCCAGAAGGGTAGAAATGGTTAGAACAAGTTCGCTAATGCACGGTAAACTTGCTGAAAACATTCGATGGACTTCTTCACAGCTCGATAGGAAAGCTTTTAGCAAATCCCTCTCTAATTATTGACTTGCTTCAAGATAGCAAAAATGAGAAAAACAAACTCTGCAAAAACATATCGACGCTCTATCAGCAGTTGTGTCCTGCTCTTGGATTTCCCTTGGGAAAGTTTTTGTTCATCTCCCAGCCAGAAAATAGAAAAAAAAAACAACCTCATCAGATTCCGTTGACTGTTCCATTTTAAAATTCTCAAATTAGCATATTAAAATTTAAGGATTTTCTTTACGACAACGTCGCGCTATTTTGGCTTGTTTTGCTCCGGAAATTTTCGTTAGTCTGTGGCTTTAGGCAGACCCTCCCATTTGGTTTGGAAGGGAAGAATGTCTTACGTAAACCGTTTTTCTGTGCTTCTACACGAATTCCATTAATTTTTTACCGTCCTTTTGTGCGTTTTCCTGTCGAAAAATCCGCAATGGTGGCCGTTTTCTGTCGGAAAACTGCGGATAGGCAGTGTCACCTTTTCTTTTCTCAGTCAGTGGGGTGAAAAAAAAACACTCGACAATGGTGTCACTAACCCTAAACCATGGTTGGCGGGGGAAAAACCTACCAAACGAGGGCAGGCAACCTTTTCGCTTTATTACACATTTTAATTTAATTCCACATTTGGCTGGAATTAGTTTTAACCCGTCACAGCAGCAGCGCAGTCTTGAAGAAGCACATTGCTTTAAGAAAGGTTCGGTCAGCTGAAATTAAATGCTTCTTTCATATGAGCCAAGGTTCGTAAGTTTTACTGCAAGATGCTTCTTTGCCCTAGATGACACTATTTTCAGTAGGTTCTAATGTGAATCAATGATTTCCGAAACTTCTTAGAAAATAATAATCTACTGCGTGACATTCATGAGACCATAAACATTATGGCTTCAATCCCGCTTACTTCCGAGCTTGAGTCACTTATCAGAACAAACATTCTATAAACGGGCACTTTTGGGGTCCTTTATGAACCGCTATCACTCAAAACGAGCGAATAAATCCAGTCTAACATCAACTCGACGCACCAGAAAGTAACTAACCTTCCCGAACAAGATTCGTCTCAAACTGACATCCTTAGCTACCAGGCTGAGGGGCCCGAGAACGATGCAATTGAGTGCAATAAAAATGAGGTAAAGTACATTCGTCTTGTTGCATCAACGTCTTCCTGCTTCCATCCTTGCACCACCACCTTCCAGACGCAGACGAGCCTATGGGTGGGTGCTATAAATTTTATGTCACTCGTAAAGCAGAAAGAGTTTGTTTGCGTTCTTTTGTCTATGGCATCCGTTGCAGTTTTTTTAAGCTGTGAATTCAATGAACACAACTCTTTACCTTGTCTATCGTGCTGGACATGTCTTGGAACGTCTCTATGTTCCCTGTCATTCCAAGATTGATCACGGCAGTTGTAAATCAACGCTGCTTTGGCTGTCGCGGGTACCTGTCAATAGACCTGAACGAAATGGAACTCTGTTCGGTAACTGGATGAAAAGAGTAGAACCCCTTTTTCAGTTAGAACACCCTGCAGGCTGTCAAACGAAAAAGAGAAAGTGTTCACTATACGCATGTTTAACCCTTTTCCGTTCCAAAAAAAAAACGGTAGGGTTAAAAGTCCTTGGAAAAATAGAAAGTTTGCCTTTGCAGCTACGTGCCTGGCATCTTCAAAAACCGAAACGAATGCTGATAACGCTGCCTATGGATCCCAATTTCTATTTCACTTATAAAACTTTAATATTATACCTTTGAAATTTTTAAAAGCGTGGAGCGAGAGCACCTTTCCGTGGGTTCTTCATTGGCAGGGCACAGGCTTTTCATCCGTTTTAATTTAATTTAAGAAATGATGTTTATTTTATATTCACTGATAAGACGAAAAAAAAGTATCATTGTGAGAGTGAGCCGTATCAAGATTATACCAGGGACCATTACTGAAAACCCCAAAAAGAGAGGAAAAAAGCACAAAACACCAAAAGTTCATCAGATGGGTGACACGTGGGGGGTTGGCAAGGATGCTGAAAGCAGTGGAATGAAGGGACAAATCTCCATCTCTGGCCCGCTCGCACACGCACACCAAGGTGAAAGCTGCCTATCATGGGCGGAATGATTCTTGCTCGGAACCAAAAGCAAACTTGATGGAAAAAAGAAAGAATTGATTCCTTTTATCTGGGAGCATTTATCTGGAATCAAATTTAGACGAGGATTACCGACGAAAAAAGGAGGAAAATCCTTAAATAAATAAAAACCGTTGAAAAATACACCAATTGGGGCTGCGGTACGTGGGCTCTCGAGGTACCAACGGCGAGGGGCAAAATGGAAATATAATGGAACTGGTGTGTGATTTCACGATTCGCATGACAGGTTGTGCTGAGGATTATTGATTTTTTTGCACCTAAGAAAAGCAAATGTCGAACCGGGCATTCCTGAATCAAAACAGAACTACTCAATCTGAAAGCCTTTCACTGTAGCTAGCTAGTTTGATGATGATTTCGTGTTTTGTTATTGTTTCGTTTTTTCTTCTTCTTTCTTTCAGGTCCATCATCATCCCTTCGTTATTGTAGTGATTTTGTGCAAATAGTGGAATATAATCGCCAATAGGTGGTGACCGTCAGCCAAATCGCACAACCGTTTTGTGGATTACTAGGTAAGTGATTCTTCGTTTGCTCGTGCAGTTTCGGAACGGCTAATAATTCCATACAAACAGACGGTAGTCGACAGGGCGAAGGGGGAATGATCTTGACTTTGTGTGGATGTTTTTTGTCGATATAGGGTGGGCCGAAAGAAACTGGGAATTTAGTTAGACGGGAAGATGGCCACAGTATTGGATAAACGATGTACCGATTTTTCTTTGTAATCATAAAGAACATTTCTTGTGGTTTAATGGTTCCGCGTCATTTGACCGAATGCCGTTTTGCCAAATGTCATTACAACCCTTTTTAGGCAAATGTCATGTGGTCGAATTTCCCGAAAGAACATCTCGTGAATAAAATTACAAAAAATCAGCAATAACGTATACTTAATTAAAAGAAGTAAAAAGTTTTAAGAGCATTAATTTACTATTATCCATCAAATTGTCCAATTCTGGTAGAAAATAAAAAAAAAAATTCCAAAAATAACGAGAATAGCAAAACTACATAGAACAAACTACTAAAATGATAAGTTTTTGATTTAATAGATGGTGAATCGTTCAAAAAGTAGTCAACACATTTATGTTAAGCGTTCACTTTAAAAAATAACAAACGTTGATTTTCCAAGGTGTGTGTCTACACTTTTTTGGTTTTGGAATTTTGCATTTAGTTTCTAAGATGGCTGCCAAACAAGCAAACTAGCATTTTAAAATTCTGCACACGCATTCGTTAAATTCAAAGCTTTCTTTGAGAAGGCTGATTTTAAACAGCTTCCTGGTCAAGAATTTTATACTGAAACTGGAAACAAATAGTTCAGGATGACTTAGTCACAAAAAATCGCGCACTGGTGAGCTGAAGAGCAATTATCTATGTGACAGATTATCATCCAAAATATTAACGTGAGCCAGTGTTTGAACAAATGTGCGCTACTTTTTTATCTGAAACCACTGATTCCCTAAGCTGCATTGGCCTGATCTCGGGCCTTGTTATTGCGGTAAAGTTACGTGAAAATCATATTGTAGCCAAAAACTAGAACGCGCTAAATTCATTACACTTCGGGCCATTTTTTTTGAAATATTGATCAATCAACACGATAAACCTCAAGAAGGATCCAGAATAAAGACTGGAACGCGCAAAAATTGTTCAAAATTCATATCACAATAATCTTCTTATTTTTCTTTTGGTAGTTCAATTCATATGTTTAAAGGAAAAAATGTTCGTTTATTTTTTTGGTTTGCCAAATCCGAACTGCCGTGCCCTCCGCTTAACCCCTTCCATTAAATTTTGCACAGTGGTCTCATCGACCCTATTCGCCGCTGAACGCCAGTTAGATTTAAACTGCTGCTCGTTTTCCATGGATTTATTAGTTTTTTTGAGATTCCGTTTGACCAAGGCCCAATACCGTTCGATAGGGCGGAGTTCTGGGCTGTTGGGAGGGTTGTGGTCTTAGGGTACCACAACCACGTTGTTCGCATCGCACCGCTCGATTGCCTTTTTCCCATAGTGGCAGCTCACCAAGTCCGGCCAGAACAGCACAGGTCAATTATGTTGCTTTAGGAATGGTAGCAGCCGCTTTTCCAGGCACTCCTGGACGTAGATCTCTTGATTGATTGTTCCAGTAGTAATGAAAATGCCACTTTTTAGACCACACGTGCATATGGCCTGCCAGACGAGATATTTTTCGGGAACTTCGATAGTTGGATGGTTTTGGATGCGGTATAAAACTCCTGTCCCGGAAGCTGCTTGAAATCACATAAGTTTCGTCGTCCATGACGACACAGTCGAACTTTGTGAGCAGATTCGTATACAGCTTTCGGGACCGCTGCTTTGCCGACGTGTTTTGTTTGTAATCTCGGTTCGCTACCTTCACCTTCTTAAACGTCGACAACCCGGCTTGTTTCTTGGCCCGCTGTACAGTAGTATGGGAGACATTGAGCTTGCCAGCATCGTCCCGGATGGAGAGGTTCGGATTCCGTTTATATTTCACCGCCACCTTCTTCGTCGTCGCTGCCACGTCCGGATTACGATTGCCGCCGCTTCCAGGCTTCCTGACGGTCGACAGGCGTTCCCCGAACACTTTTCAAACGTTTGTCACAGTCGATTTGGCCACATCCAGCAATTTTGCCAACTTGGCGTGTGAGAACGTCACTGCTCCTCTTGCTTGGACGTCATTTTGAAAACTGGAGAGCAAACGGTGTAAACTCATCATAGCAACCATTGTATATACACTCAACTTCCAAATGCAGCATTTCAGGTTTTTATGCATTTTTAACAGAAATACACCAATTTGAATTTGACCAAATTGATTTGCGCGTTCCAGACTTTAAGTTAATAATGTGAAGAAAAAAAAAATCAAAACAAAAAGGCGTACATTGTCAATAGACTTAATTTAAACTAATGGAAGGGGTCAACCGTGAAAATCGTGAATTCGTATTTGGCAAAGCATAGAGTGAACTCAACATTATCAGGGTTTCATGTAAGAATAAGCTGCTAAAATAACATAAAATAGATGATTAATGAATTGACATGATTTTCCTACACTTAATTTTGAGTGTCAACTTTTTTTCGGTGCTATTTTCAGAGTAAAAAATAAAGAGTTTGTAGAATTTGAAAGGTTTATCCAACACTGTGTAAACACGCTTTTTAAAGGGTGTACCGTTTAAAATCCGCACACACAAAATTCAATCTCAAAATTCGAGTTTTTATCCGAATTTGGTGATAAATTTAAATAGACAAAATTAAAATTAGCTTTGGCATCATTCATGATGATTGCCTTAACCCCAGCCATAAGGTTCTGCACGACCTCAGAATCGACAGTTTTTTTTTGCATATTAACCCATGCTTTCTTCATTTTTCTACATTCTTCACCACTTTAGGTCGTTTTAGAAGGTGCTCCTTCATAATGGCCCAATATTTTGCTACTGGGCGCAATTCCGGTGTGTTTGGGGGGTTCAGATCTTTGGGCATGAAATCAACATCATTCACCTTATACCACTCTAGCACGTCCTTCGTGTAGTGGCATGATGCCATAACCGGCCAGAAGATCGTCGGACCGTCGTGAGCCTTCAGGAGAGGGAGAAGCCGCTTTTGGAGACCCGTTTCCAAATACACCTGTCCATTCATGTTGCTTGCGGTAAGGAAAGGTGTACTCCGCTTTCCGCAAGTACAAATCGCTTGCTAAATTAAGAACTTCTTGGCGAACTTCGACAGCTTCTGTGTCCGGAGGTTCTCGGGAACATCACACATATCCTTGTCAGTCACATACAGGTTTCTTGGAATCTGGTTGAATTCCGCCTTCACTTATGTCTCATCATCCATTACGCAGCAGTGTGGTTTCGTTAACTTCTGGTCGTACAGTTGCCGGGCACGGCTTTTTGCGACCGTATTCTGCTTCTCGTCACGGTTTGGGGACTTCTGAACCTTGCACGAAAGTCTTGCTCCCATGCAACTTTTTAGCCACATCTCGAACTGATGCGTTCGGTTTAAAGGCCCCAACCACGCGTTTGTGGCCGTTCTCGTTGACCTGCCGGCTTTTTTCCGGATCTTCGCTTCCGATCAGTCAGACGGTCTTCGAACCGTTTATGATAGCAGACACCGTGCAATTCGCGATTCCCAACTTTTTTTTTCCGATGGCACGATGTTCCGGATCTTTTAATGAACCATCCCTTAGTCCCCAGCATCCATTTTCTGGTCACAACTCCGACTTCATATTGATAAGACGTCCATGAGTGGTTTCGATAAAAACCGTGGAGCTCTATGATCAGTTTCATGAATTGACCACTTTTACGGATGTCTTGGATCATCCGGTTTGCCATCCCGTATTCTCCAGAGTCCATATTCTAGTCACAACTCCAAATTCATTCTGATAAGACGTCTTTGAGTGGTTTAAAAAAAAAAACCGCGGAGCTTTAGGATCAGTTTCATAAAATGACCGCTTGTATGGATATTCCGGATCTTCCACAGGACCCGGCTTCTCAAAAGGTGACAAACTATCTGCTTAATAACTTCTCCAAAGACATCAGGAAGTTATCTCTTCAAATCGCCGTACAATCAGTGTTTGGTCCCAATTAGCTCAAATCCCATACGCTACGTGTATTCGTAAATGCCGGATCGACCGTACTATAGGAATCCGGCAAGAACGAATCCGTACTATAGGAATCTTGACTGTAGATTGAACCAACAAATTTGTTTTAATGTGATGTCAACCGGAAGTTTTTTTTTATAATTTATTCATGTAGCGTTCAACTTCCTTCAGAAGTTCCTTCTGTATTCTTCTTGAAATTTTTATCAACAGTCTCAGAAGTTTGTGTCAGGCTTCTCAGCGAAGTTTCTTCGGTAGTTTCTGCAAATCTCACCCGGAAGTTTATTCACGATCCACAAGCACAGCGGAACAAGGGAAATATATTTTCATGAACAAAATTTTAGATTTGTTCGAATAAACTGCTTTTGAAGTGTTGTTCTAAGTGCTGTTCCCTTAACATAGCTTAATAAACAAGTTAAAGAGCATCCGTATGCTTCATGCAACAATATTAATGTGCTCTAGATTATGTTTGTATCAACACAGCAAAAAATTAAAATTAGGGTGGGTCAAATTTACAATTCCCTGTTCCCCACTGCTCTTTCAATGCATATTGAGGTTCCGAACAACAGTGCAAAATTTGATCAAATTTGGTTATAATACCGATTTTCGGGAGCATTTTAAATTTTGTATTTGAAAACACGTGGGAAACGGAGCGATCAGAGATGTTATGCCTCGCTTACCAAAAAACTAAATATTGTTCAAAATTCACCAAATCTCTTAGATTGAAAATACTATGCGAAACAACATGGTTAAATACTGTCAATAGATCAAACAAATTTATTCAAATTTGACACCCTTGTAGGGACCTCAATCGGAAGAGCAGCATGAACAGGTAGTTGTGATCCTTCATACAAACTTGACCCACCCTAATGGACACCCCCCACTTAATTTTTATTATCACGAAAGAGAAATAAATATATTTGGGCAGATTATGAA